TTCCTTAACTTCCCTACCGAGACTTGGGTCCACATTAAATAGGAAGTTGTCTATAATCTCTTCCTCCAACCACTGACTCCGGCTGGCGTGAAGCTCCCATTTCTCCAGATATTCTGTGATACCATAGCCCCTGAAGGTAGGAGGCTCTGAGGCCTTGTGCGTAATAATATAGCGATCCTTGCTCTCGTAAGGGAGCGGATGTGACTCCCCTGTCTGGGGGTCGAAGACTCGCCTGGGCGGCGCCCTGTCTCTATCTCTGTCCTTCCAATAGGAATCCCTCAAACTCTCTCTCCAGTCGTCTCTGTGCTTGTCCGCTATAGTGTCCCTCCGCTCGTACTCGTGGGAGCGTCGCCTCGTCGCTTCTCGTCCTCCGCTCGAGGTACCCGTCTTTAGAGCCTCCTGCGGCTCTGTCGCAACTGGTTCGCCCCTTACGTCGGACCCTCCGTCATTGGTTCGGTCAGCCCATCCCAGCGGTGCTTCTCGCCTAATTCGTTCCTTCAGATCCCTCAGAGCTCGATCGGGCGATGTCCTGTACTCCTCTCCCGCTTCGCCCGTGGTCGGTTGTGGCCCCATCGTGTCGGGTTCCATTGGACTGCCAGAAGATAGAGTTAGGTATTCTAGCCAATTGTTACAGCCCGACCCTATGACAGTCGTTGCAGCCCGGACCTGTTTCCTTGTCACGGCTCGCGTCCGCCTTCAATCTTAGCTCTCGACTGCCTTGATTACCACTTCCAGTATCCCGTTCCGGTCGCAGATCTCGTGTCCTCCCTCTATCCCAAGAATCCCTGTGTCTAAGTAAACCTCTCCTTCGGGATCGGCCAACAAGGTCGTGCCTCTCCGGATCTGCAGTACACCCGTGACAGGACCTTTATCCTTGAGACAGATCGCAGTCCCAAACCTAGCCAATGTCTCCTGATCAACACCCCTCAAGAGTCTCCGAGCGTCTCTCTCCGTCCTCCTTGCTAGTTCTCCTATCCCTGTCCTGAATCGGTTAGCCCGCTAAAGGCCCTTCTACTGCCATCCAAAGTCGCCCATCGACCTTTCTAGCTTCCACTCTCCTTCCAAGAGCTTCCAATTTCTATTTCCACTCCCTTATCTCCCAGACGGCTACGAGGTCATCTGTCTAACAGCTGAGGTAATTTAGTGCTATAACCACTTGTAACCTCATCGCCGACCGCTCCAATATGTCATAAAATGTCTCAAAGTCCTCCTTATCTCCACCATCGTCTATCGCCTCTAAAGTCTTTATCGATTCCTTCCAGTACCGGTCGTGAGCGGCTAACACCCTTAGTAGTGCACCATCTGTTACAACTCTCCCTAACTCTCCAGCTTTCATGGCTTCGCTTATCTTCAACCTCTCAGCCTCTCTGGTCGTCTCGTACCATGCCCTTATCCGAGACCGCCCTTCGAAAGGTGTCACTTGGAGTACGTATTTTATCCTCCGTCCTCCTTCTATTCCAATCCAAAGTCCTGTTCCCCTAGCCTCACGCAGCGTGTGCTGGACACACTCTGCCTTCTCAACTATGCACAGTCTGGTATGGAGCTGGAGTTCTATGATCACTAACACTAATGGTCCGTCTAGTCTCCCTACCACATATAATGAGTACCGATCCGTTGTGTGTAGTGCAGTCTCGCTCATGTCCTGTCGCTACTTCCCTGCGTTACTTTGTCTTCCGTTGTCTCGCTCTCTGCAGATTGCTCACTAGTTTCTTCGCGTGATACGCTTCTAGCCTTTACCCTCTCCAGAAAGTCTGATCTCCACGCCTGGATAATCTCTCTTTCCTCCCTAAACGGATTGTCTAACTCTCTTGTCACGAGTTCAGCCCTACGCAACTTGCCCTCGTCCTGGCACGATCAGATCTCCCTTAACTTGTTCCCCAACTTCTTTACCTGGTTCAAGAGTGGTTCTTTAACACGCTTTCTCACTCTTCCGACTGCCTCACTCTCCTCTCCCATACTCAGTCCACATMTTTTTCCAGCTCATCCTCTCACCCTCGCTCTAGCCTCTGCTACCGTCTCATCGTGGTAGTGCTCCGCGCACATATAACCATAAGACCATATCATCACATCATAGGAAATCGAGGTCTGGAAGGTCACTCGCGCTAGTACATCAGCTCTACGCTCGTGGATCAAATCCCTAGCTCGTCGTCCGCACTCACTCGCTGTCAAGTCCTCGTCTACGTACGCTCGGACAAGTATTGCCACAGTGTATCCTGCGTTTACCAGTTGCTCTTCTACACGCATCACCGTGGCCGTCCTTCCCGGCATTCCCTAAGCTGCAGCCTCGAAGAGAAATCTCACATCCTCTAGCCCCGCATAATCGATCTCTGCCCGTCTCCTGCAGTACCTAATCAGATCGATAGGCCTCAGACAGTCCACCCAGCTAGTAACGTCTATGATGTCGTCAAGCGTCTCTCTACTGGGCGGCCCCCACCTCACACAAATGGCGTAGTATACTTCCTTGAAGCGGGGCGCTAAGCCCTCCCAGAGCGAGTAAAGTGTGTGGTTCACTGCTCTACTCAAACGATCCACGCTCCCGTAGGTCTGCCCTATCACGAAGGTAGGAAGTCCGAATCGCCAATCCTTCCTCGGGTAGAGGGTCGGATGTGGTGGACCGTATAGCAAGCAGCTCCAACTCGTCCTCCCTCCAGAGAGTCTCGCCAATTGCTGATTAACGATCACTCTGGCCAACAACTCGCTTCTCCACCAACTCCTGCGCACCCCTGCGAGCGTTAGTCCTATCTCTAAATCGTGTGCTCTATCCGCTATCAGATGTCCGACCCCTTCTAGATCATGAGTCCTCTCGGATCGTTCGTCTCGTAGTATCACTGTCCAAACGAAGAGCCCCTCTGCGAGCCACGTTCCCAAGTATCGTATCGGTACACGCCCGGCCTCTTCTAACGCCACAGGAAGTGGTATATCGTATCCAACCGCCGTCTCTCTGGGTCCCACAAGCTTCCTCCCACTATACGATTCGGACTCTCGTGAGAGAACATAAGCTAACCAGGCCACTGAATCACTCCTCATCTCTTCTCCTACTCTCGGTCAGCATCACTCTACTCCCTCCGATGCACCCCATCTCTCGACGTTGCTAACCCTTCAGACAACTCTCGCACTCAGTTCCAATATGGTCGAGTAGCATCAGTAGCTAAGCTCACTCAACCGTCGCCCTAATGTGCTCCTCTACCTCCTACGTCCGGACCGCTACTCCTATTCTGGGAAATTGGGCGTCTGTAACGTCAATCTCCTCCTCGTCAACCTCACTCTCTGGGTCGACCCAGTCTGGCTCTCAAGTGTCCTCGTCTTCTTCTCGCTCCCAACCCTCGTCGTCAAACTCGTCCTCGACATGGTATGGCGCCTGTCCTATACCCTGGTAGTATTCCGCCAACTGATGGCCGTATATCAGAGGTCGCCCAGCGTCCTCACTCCACCACCTCTCCCAGTCGTCTGAGAAGAGCCGCCCGATGCAGGTCACGTACTCGGGGCCTGCTCGGAGCTCGCGGTCTAGCTAATCCCAAACGCACGGAGACTGAGGCCACTCGTCGTCTATCGAGCGGATCAGCTCTATAAGCTGAACCCTCTCGTCTCCCCAACGAGGCCCACCGATTGCGAGCGAATAATAGATGTAGTCTAGGCCGGCAGGCCTTCTCGCCAGGATCTTGAGATCCTGATAGGCCAGGTATGTCTCGACCACTCCACCAATACCTCCAAAGACGTGCTCTACTACGAACGTCGGAACTATCGCCCGCAGGCTTCTAACGCTGTACGGGAAAAACCCGTCCCGTGCTACCACCAACTCGCCCGTGATATCAAGAGGAGGGTGTCCATGAAATAGGGTCAACGGGTCGCTCGAGTCCTCCGCTCGGAAGGCGGCTACTTCTTCCCCTAGGTAGCGTAACGCCCTGCTAACTGTGCCACTAGTCCCTGTCGTCGCGAGGCCCACCACGGCCTCCCTAACTGCACCTGGTCCCAAATACAAGTAGGCTCTCACTACGCCCACTCCTTGCCCCGGCCAGTGCTCTCTGTACGTCCAAAGCCACACGTCCTCGGACAAGATTATGGACCTTCACGCAAACTGGCCGTCAACGTGTCGAATGTTGCGCCCGGGGATCGTGAGCTCGACCAGATCCCCGTCTATGAGTTCAGGGGGCTCCAAGTCCCAGTCAATGGTAGGCCCATAGACCTCTGCTTGCACCCGCGACCACATTCAACTGGCGGCTAGAAAGAACGCAGCAAGAGGGAGGTGTAGATTAATAACTGAAAATTTTCGTCGCTTGCCTCACGCCTCGGGAACAAGCTAGTAGGTTCACCCGAAACCAGGTTACCGCAGTGTCCCTTTCCCTTCTTCTTCTAGGGAATTCTTCCGTATTTTTTAATTATAAATTAAAGAAAATGTATTTAATTAAGATAATTTTTCTTTCTTAGTTTATATATATTAAGGATCAATACATATATAAGCCCGCCGAGTTTGATGATTTTAAGGGGTAGAAATAAAATTTGGGGAATTTACTAAAATTTCGGCAACGTTTCGCCTCCCCCCGTTGGGATGGGGTTCGGGCGAAGCCCTCAAACAGCGCCGACGAAGAGGGAATATCAAAAGAAATAATGGAAAAAAAGAAAAATTGATTTAACTCGATTTTTAAATATTTTTGTTAATTAATTAGCAAAAAATTAAATTAAAAGAAAAATTTCGAGAAATTTTGACAGCAATTTTCCTCCCCCCCCGGTGAGATGGGGTTCGAAAAAAAATCCCTCAAATAGGCAAAGTAGATATGAAGAGCATTGAAGTCAAACAAATGCCCTATGCAATTTTTAATATTTATTTCAATTTTTTTTATCGATTTTAAATAAAATCAAAAGTAAAATAATTCTTAATTATTTAATGGGGCAAAACTTCCCGAATTAATTTCCACAATCTTACGGGATATATTTGACAAAATAATAATCCGTAACAAATGCGGAAGCTAGAAGCTATGGCTTCCCTCTATCTACCCGCTTCTCTCAAAATTGGGGTTAGGACTTCACCCTAATTAGGGTTTCCATTAATTAGGGTTTGGGGTTTTGTGCGCCACAGCACGAACACCGCAAAGCCCTGCTCGACGGGAGAAAACTTTTGTTATCTTTCACTAGTTTTAGAAGAAAAACTTATTGGATTACATTTTTAAATTCCATTTTCTTTTAATTTAAACAAAATTACAAAGAAATTCAATTTTTCGTTGATTTTCTTCCCCCTTTTCTATCTGTTGGAGCTCGCCATTTGTCCAAACGAAGTCCGTTTTCCCCGACTAGGGTCTCAAAATGTCGGGGAAAATACAGGGACCAACTTTGGTCCTCTCAGGGTTTCCCTAATTTCGCTTATTTTCCCGTTCATTTCAATAAAAACGCAAATAAAATTTTTTGGAATTTTTAATAAAAAATACAAAAAATTTCATATCTCGCTTTTTAGCCGTTCGAATTTCTCAAAAAATGTCTTAAAACGTTCGCCTCGATGAGAGGAAGAACTTTGCTCCCTCTGCGCCTCCCACGAAAGCGCGCGCATCAGGAGATATCGAGGAAAAACCAATTAGAAATTTTAACTCGTAATTTTTGGGATTTTTAATTAGAAAAATATAAAAAATTCCATATCTTTTTTTCTAGCAGTTAGAATTCTTCAAAAAATATCTCAAAACGTTCGCCTCGA